GGCCTCGTGCGTGGCTTGGGAGAACAGCACTGCCCCGTGGAACTGATCTCGGGAGGGGTGGGTGGTCCTGCCCTGGAGCCGAACCCCGGTTCGGTCGCCGCGTGGGGGAGGGCAGAGTGAGGAAGGCTGCATGCTGTGGCAGCAGGAGTGACGCGGGGGCTGCAGCGGGAAGCACTTGTCCCGTCCCCTCCGAAGGTGCCCAGTGGCCCGGGGCTGTGAAGCGGGCGCAGGCCCCACAGAGCCGGCAGCCTGCTGCTCCTGGGACCTGGTGTGAGGTCTCCGGGTGTGGCCTGGTCCTGTGTTGGGGTGCCTTGTCTTTGAGCAACTCTTCACCTCTGCGCGTGGGGCTTTCTGTAGCCCGAGGAGCGAGGGAGCCACTGGGGAAGAATTCACAAATTTGGAGGCTCCCCGATACCTGGGGTTTAGTGTGGGCCCTGCCCCTCTGGTTGTCTCTGCCTCGCGCAGGCCGGCTGCCTGGCCAGTGCCGTGCTCTTGCGCCCGCGGCCGCGACTTCAGAAGCCTTTCTGACCCTGCAGCCTGTCCTGTCCTCTTTAAGGGTCGGTGGCTTTGATGCGCGTGAGCAGAGTCAGGCGTCCAGGGTGGCGAGCCGCGCTCCTGAACCAGGGGGCGCACGGCGCGTGTGAGCGTGACCTCCGGGGACCCGCCCGCCTGGCCGGGCTGTGGGCACGAGGCATCCTACCCTCTCCCCCTTTTGCCTGCGGCTCCGCGAGGCTCGGCTCTCTGGCGGGACGGTGCTCGGGAAGCCTGGTGGGGGCCCGTCGGGGCTGTGCGTGTGCTGCCGTCGCCGTGCGCCTGTGACAGTTCGAAGTGGGGGCGGAGGTGTCCTCGGAGGGCGTGATGGTCGGCAGCGGGGATTACTGTTCCGCGTGTGGTGGCAGGAGGCCTCAGGAGAGAAGTGCCCGTGGGTCGGGGGGATAGACGTACGTGCGGTGAGATTGATTTCCTGTTTTGTTCACATCGCCTAATAAAACCGCCGCAATCTCGGTCAGTGTCCTCGTAACGTAGCCCGGCAGAAGGGGCGGCGCGAGAGGGGTACGGCGCCCACCACCGCACCCCTGCCCTTGCTCTCCCAGCAGACCCTGCGTTCCCCGGAAGCTCCCCACCACTGGCACCTGGTCCCCGCTGTGGTCGGAGAGGACGTCTGTCCCCGCGCACAGCCTCCTGCGAATTTGGGAACTCTCCCTTCGGTTCGATCCGACAGCCGTTTCCTCACCCCAGTTGTGGAAATGCTGCTGCTGGGGACAGGGTCCCGTGCATCTAAAGGCAGCGCCCCTGCGGCATGCATGGCCCCGGCCCCCAGGGGGGTGGCTCTGTGCACACACACGACTGGGCTTCCCTCCAGGGCGATGCCCCGTTACTGGTTACTGCTCTCGGTAGTAAATGGAAATGTTTTTAGTCGCCTTGTGCTCACAGGGATAATAAATCGCGAAGTCAGAACTCCTTTCAGCGCCCTTTGAAGTTGTTTTGTGACTCAGCCTCCATCTTTACTCTTCCCTACATGAGCTGCCCAGAAGCCTTCCTGGAAATAGGAAAAACACGGCCCGGAGCGGGACTCCCTGAGGTCGGCTCCCGCCCAAGGCCGCTCCCTCCCCTTCAGCCCGCGGGCCCTGTGTGTGCGCCCGCTGTGGCTCCTGGAGCAGAAATGGTCGGAGTACCTCTAGCTACTTCTGCGTATCTGGCCAGGACGCACGGGTATTTAATTTATGAAAAGGCCCAGATCAAAGCGTCTACCAAGACGGGGAGGGGTTTGCTGCCCAGTGTGGTCGTCACAGCAGCCCTCAGTCACTGGATGGTCCAAACTCGGGGCCACGCTGGTCGCGTCACAGTGACTTGGGTGTTCACCGGGGTCCTGTGCTCCGTTGGGGGTTTCTTCTGGGGGTGGGGATTTGGGGGATTTGAAAGTAGGCTCCACAGATTGACCCCATTCCTACCTGGTCTGCGGTTGTCTTTATCCTGTTCGTTTGCAGACTGAACTTCTAGATAGTTCTGCCTGTAACTCACTTTCCGATGGCACGGCGTGCTTGTGCGGATGTGGTTTTGGGGGATGTGTCCAAGTTATCTCGATAAGATGTTCCCTGTCTGCCCCAGAACTGGATTTCCATTTATCGGTTACCCTCATCTTGTTTTATGGGGCCAACGAAAATTCAGCTGATAGGACCCAGGACCCTGGCTCTGTCTCACTCCGAGCACAAATCCACGGTTCACCGATGACAAATCAGGAACGTTGACGTTTATTATTTTCTTCACTGTTAAACATGCAGATTCCAAATAGCGGAGTAGCAGGAATTAAGGCGAACAGGTAAGCGCCCAAAGACGTCTACATACGGACTTCCTAGCAGTTCGCTGGGATTCACTCGTGTCACGTCAGCAGCAGGAAGGACTCTCCTTTTCCTTGTTTCCTTACTAACGATAGAGGTCAGTGTCCGTCACATCAGTCCCTAATAACTGAGTGTGTTGTGTGCAGCCGTGGGAGGGATGTAAAGACAGAGCCCCGTGCTGCCTGGCCTCACGGTCCCGGTGGGGACCACACGGTCACACACGGACGTGTAACAAACGGTGTGTGTGAGCCAGAGAAAGAAGACACAGGCGCCCCTGCCCCGAGGGTCCCGGCAGGAGTCGTGCACAAGAGCTGGGTGCTTCCAGAACACGTGGGTGAGGATGCTGCCCTCTGCGTCCCGAGCCCCTGCTCCCGCATGGACCATCTCCGTGCGGGCCAGCCCTTCAGAGCCCCCACACAGGGGACCCACAGCCTCTGTCAGCGTCAGATCAGTTCACGCTGCCTTGGTGGTGAAAGTGAACTTGGAAACCTCGCGTACATGTGAGCCTTGTCTCGAGCCTCCTCTGTGACACCCTTACTTTACGAGGAGCATCCTGGCCCGTATGGAGGAGACATGGGAGGGGAAGGCCACGTGGCTGGACCCCGACCTGCGCCTCAGCACAGGGTTCTCAAACTGTCTGCGGAAGAACAGGGGCGCTCCCCTTGGGTTAGTTTGCTTACAGGCGTGGGAAGTGTGGACAATCTGGAAAAACTTGTGTTGTGAATTTCACCATCCCGAAATTTCCATATTTATGCATCTGCTGATAACTTTGGGACTGTGAGATACAGCCTGTCTCCAAGGGTCTCGTGTGGTTGATTACAGACCACTCCCGTGTGCAACGGGCCGCGTGTCCCCGCTGGTGTCTCCACCTTGACGCCTCATTTTCCTTTGAAGGATCAGGAAGCCTCTTGTCCTTGGAAGCCGCGTGCGGTCCTCAGGCCTTCTAGCTGCTTCCTGTCTCTGCTGCTCTCTCCCCGCCGCCCTTCGCACACAACGGGGATGCTTCCCCGGCAGCAGGTGCGCGGAGTGCCGTGCGGGCACGGGTGGCAGCGGCCCGGCCCCGGCACTGTGTGTGCTCCGCGTTCCGACCGCTGCTTTCTTCGGGTGACATCACTGTGTTACTTTCTATTTAGCTTTTCAAGCAAAGTTTTAAAAGTTCATCCAAGTAATAAACATACACGTTAGTTTTAGAAGTCGGCGCGTAATCCCTACCTAGCAGCAAACCCTTTTAGCTGTGTTTTTCTAGGAGATACGGCTGTCTTTTTATGGGGCATTCTTACGCTGCTCTTTATTGACTTACAATTTGGGGCATGGTTTTGACGTCCTCGTGTGGCGTTAGAGATTCCATGCACATCACGTCCCCTCCGTCTTCCAGTGTGGTTCTAGATTTACTCAGTCTGTCTTCACTGGGAATTCACCACCGAATAGATATGAAGTAGGCCCCTCGGGTGAGCCCCACATGCCCGTCTCCCAGCTTCAGCATCACCACATGGCTTCGTTTCTGCGCTTAGGTCGGCTGGGCATTAGAACTGGTTTTGATGAAATAAAATCAGAAATCCAGGAGATGGTGTCTGGGTATGACTGTGGGCTTTGTGGGGTAGCCCCCCCACCCTCCGGCCTCCCCATTCCAATCAGACAGATCGTGGAGGGTGTCTGGGGGCGTGGGAGGGCTGGACCCTCGTGGTTTCCGTTTCTCTGTGTTCCTGGCCCTTCTTGTGTGGTCGTGTCTCCATGAGAATGTCAGTGGCAGTTTCTTGGAAGCAGTAAATAGCCTGTTATATTTATGGGAAATGCATTGGATTTGGCGGTAAACTCAGGGAGAACAGATATACTAAGAATGTTGGTGCCAGGGCACCCGGCCAGCTCGGTAAGTGTGCCACTCTTGGTCTCGGGGTCATGAGTTCGGTGCCGTGTCTCACGTAGAACTTGCTTAAAAAACGATAAGAAAAGACTGTTGGTGTATCTACCTAAGTGGGAACGTCTTTCCGTGTTTCAAGCCTCCTTCATATTTTCCAGGAGAATTTTTAAAAATTTCCTCATCTGGGTTTTTTTATGTTTCACGTCGTTTACTTCTGTGTGCTCAATCTTCTTTTCTGCTTTAGAAATGGGCGTTCTGTACATTTACGTCCTGTAACTGTTCACTGTCGTGTGTATAAGGGCTGTTGATGTTCATCTTAGGCCCTGCTGATTCGGGGGGGCCCTTGGCCTCGATGGGTGAGGGTCCAGGCAGGAGCAGGTGGGGGCTGAGCCGGGCCGAGGTGGCGAGGGGGAGGGGCCGTCGGGGTCCTTCCTCCGTCTTCCTTTTCTGTCTGCGGTTCTCTTGCTGCCTTATGCTGCAGCCTCCCGCAGAGAGTTCTTCCGGAAGGATTGAGTGTTTCTGAGAAATACCTGGCATCCCAGCGGCGGTACGTTTTGCTCAGCGTGGCCGTGCGGCAGGCCTCTCCATCCCGGGGGGACCGTCACGGTGGCTCCCAAGGAGCGTCTGTCGGGTGGGGGCACGTGCCCGGCAGCCTCTGAAAGAGCCATCGCCCGCTTTCAGGGGCGGAGAAGCTCGGGCTCGCGTGTGCGGGGTCACGCGCCGCTCAGAGCAGGAATGGGGGGTGCGTCCCGGGTGCTCCCGCGAATCCACGGTGAGTTTCTCGATTTCTTCTCCCGCAACAGGCCCGGTACAAGCAGAGCCTCGACCCGACCGTGGATGAGGTGAAAAAGCTCTGCACGTCTTTACGCCGAAACGCCAAGGAGGAGCGGGTCCTCTTCCACTACAACGGCCACGGGGTGCCCAGGCCCACCGTGAACGGGGAGATCTGGGTCTTCAACAAGGTAGGAGCTCCGTCCGAGGTCCTTGGGAGCCCCGCCCGTGTCTCTCTGCCACAGAACGTTTCCGCGTGGGAGCTCGGCCACGGGTCCCGTCCGCCCGTGGCTCCGCTGCCGTCTAGACCCTGCCTCTGCGGACCCGGATGTGGTCGGGCTGGACAGGGCGGCGGGCCCGCCGTGTGGCGGGGACCCGTGGGATCGTCTCCGTGTCAGCGGCGAGGCCTGGGCAGCAGGCTCGAGGTGCCGGCTCTCGTGCCCGCGTGGCGGGGCACCGTCTGGGCCACGCTGTCTGGTGTGGCCCTCGGGTGCGCTCTCCCCGCAGGAGGCAAGACTCGCACGGTCGACACGGTTTCTCAGGTCAGGCGGAGTCTTCCTTAGAGAACCCGCGATTTCCTGACGAAACAAAACAGTGCACGGGTTCCAGAGAGCGCCCACCGCGACACCTGTGGACGCGGCCTCTGCTCTGCCCTCCCCAGGGCGGTGCTCCCGCCTCCAGCTCCTCCAAGGCGACACCCCTTCCGCCATCTTCCTGGCCGCAAGCGGCGAGTGTCGCGCCCACCCTGTGGTGGGGCGGCGGCTGCGTCCTCTCGGCTCACGCGGTGTGAAAGGCAGCGCCTGGAAGGGTGCAGGGTTCGACGCCACGTGGCCACCGCCGGTTCAGAAGTTGCGCCTTCAGAGCCCCTGTGCCCTCCTCAAGTGCAGCCTCCCTTGTCCCCGCTAGGATCCCAGTGGATCTCGAGTTTACCGCGACCGCGCTTTCCTTTACAGTGTCCCCACTCTTGTGTGGCTGTCCAGGCGTGTTGTTGGGTGCGTTCTGGTTGACAAGACTGGGATCCTTCTGTGCCTGCCCCTCTCGCTCTGTGTCACGCTCTGAAGACCGGTCCCTGCTGTCCCTTCCCCCTTCCCCCAGTCCCCTGCCGCTGGCTGTGGGGACGTCCCGGGACCTGCTTGGTGCCTTCTGTGCAGACAAGCTTCTGAGTGGCTCTGTCGTCTTCCTGTCGCACACTGCCCAAATGTCTTCCGTTCCCCACCTTCTTCCCCAGACTGTGGTCAGGGTTTGTCCTTTCTGCTCGGTGTGGGGGCCAGCGCGGGTCTCCCCGGTGGCCGTGCCCTCGAGCGTCCTCTGCCGTGCGTGCCGGCCGTGGAGCCTTCCTCTGCTCGAAGTGCCAGCTCCTCCATGTGTCACTGGGGTTGCTGCGTCCTGTTCTCACTGATTTGAAGGAATCCCTCGTCTTCTGGACAGCAGCCCTTTATCACTGTTAGGAATTGCGAACGTCCTCCCTGAAATATGGCTTGGTGTCCCTTAACGGACAGGAGCTCTTTACGTCCAAGTGGTCAGCTTGGTCAGTCTTTCACTACGGTGCGGACTTTTTGTGTCTTTAAGAAGACTTTCCTCATGCCAAGATTTAAAAAGTAATCTTTTTTTTTTTTTAAGTTTTCATTTTTTATTTATTTTGAGAGAGAGTGCAAAATGGGGAGGGGCAGGGTGACAGAGAGAGAGAGAGAGAGAGAAAGAGAGAGAGAGAGAATATCCCAAGTAGGCTCTGCAGAGTTCACACAGATCCCAACATGGGGCTCGAACTCACAAAACCGCGACACCATGACCTGAGCCAAAATCAAGAGTCGGTCGCTCACCTGCCCGAGCCCCCAGTCGTTCCCAAAAGTATTCTCTGTGTTCTTCCACAAGGGTTGTATTTTCGTCCATTACATTTAGGTCTCTAATCTACCTGAAACTGATTTTGTACATACTGTTATGTAGGAGTTCATATTCTTTTCCCCCCTCCAGTGGATACCTACCTGTTCCGTCACTATTTAATGTCGTCTTTGAACGAAATCGAGTTTCCATAGTGTGTGGGCGTGTTTCTGAGCTCTGTTCTGCTCCATGGGTCCTGCCTCTGTGCCAGGAAACTATTTTAATGAGCGTAGGTTTCCAGTGATTCCTGGTGTTTGGGAAAGCGAATTCCTCCTCTTTGTTCCTCTTCAGTCGCGTCTTGGCTGTTCTTGGTGCTTTGATCATCCCGGAGACTGTTGAACCAACTTGTAAATCAGTGGATTAATGATGGGGGAGACTCAGCGTCTTTACAACGTTGAGTCTACCAAACTGTGTTCTTTTTTAGGTGCCTTTCAGTGGTATTTCATAATTTCATACAAGTTTGCATCATTTGTTAGATATATTCCTAGATTCTGTATATTAAAAAAATTTTTTTTAATGTTTTTATTTATTTTTGAGACAGAGAGAGACAGAGCATGAGCAGGGGAGGGGCAGAGAGAGAGGGAGACACAGAATCCAAAGCAGACTCCAGGCTCCAAGCTGTCAGCACAGAGCCCGACGCAGGGCTCAAACTCACGGACTGTGAGATCATGACCCGAGCCAAAGTCGGACGCTCAACCAACTGCCACCCAGGCACCCCGATTCTGTATATTTTTGATGTTATAAATGTTTACTGTAAAACCTGTGTTCTGTAAGTTTTTGCCAAGGAGTATGGAAAGGCTGTTGATTTTTGTACATTAATTTTATGTTTATCAGTTTTGCTCTTCTCTTACTGTTCCTTATAATTTATCTGTACACACTTTTTTGTTTTCTTAGTAGATATTTGGTGGGTATAAAATAACAAATAACAAGAAACTTAGCATCGATTCTGTAGCATCACTTACTACAGAGAGCATGTCCACGTGCTTCCGACCATCTCAAAGCTGTGGTTTTTTTTGTTTTTTGGTTTTTTTTAACGTTTATTTATTTTTGAGACAGAGAGAGACAGAGCATGAATGGGGGAGGGGCAGAGAGAGAGGGAGACAGAATCGGAAGCAGGCTCCAGGCTCTCAGCCGTCAGCCCAGAGCCCGACGCGGGGCTCGAACTCACGGACCGTGGGATCGTGACCTGAGCTGAAGTCGGACGCTTAACTGACTGAGCCACCCAGACGCCCCTCAAAGCTGTGTTTTAATAAGCAGTGTTTGTTTGTTGGTTTTGTTTGGGATCCAGGATCCAGTCCAGGTTCACACACTGCCTCCGCGGATATAGGTCCTTCTTTGCGTTTTTTCCAAGTGAAATTATTTTATTATTGTCTTTTTGTAGTGGGTTACTATAGTTACACATCGGTCTTTTAATAAATTATTATTACTAATAGACTTCAGTTTTTGGAGCAGGTTTAGTTTTATAGAGGAATTGAGAAGGAGACTTTGCCTGCACTCTCCCTGCCTCCCCCGCCCTCAGTTTCCATCATTAAGGTCTGGCTTTGATGTGGGACATTTGCCGCAATTCGTGATCCAGTGTTGGTCCAGTGTCATTAACTAGCTTCCAATGCAGCATTGATCCGGTGTCATTCGCTAACGTCCATAGTTCACGTTAGATCACTCTGCGTCGTACGTGCTCTGGGTTTTGCCGGATACGTCACGGCACGCACTCACCATTACGGTGCCCTGCAGGGTAGTCTGACTGCCCTAAGAATCCCGTGCTCTACTGTTCGCCCCTCCTGCCTCCCTCCCCGCCCCGGCAACCACGGCCGTCCACTGTCTCTGTAGGTTTACCTTTTCCAGAGTGACATTTAGTTGGGATCATACAGTGTGTAGCCTTCTAAGATTGGCTGTTTCCAACAAGGAGTGTGTTTCTGTGGCTTGATAGCTCATTTCTCTTTACCACTGAGTAACGCTTCGTTGTCTGGATGGACCACTATTGAGGGACATCTTGCTCGCTTCTGGTTTTTCTTGGCTGTTGTGAATAATGCTGTTATAAACCTGTGTGTGCGGGTCTTTGCGTAGATGTAAGGTTTATGCTAATTCGAGTAAATACCTAGGAGTGCCATTGCTGGATCAGATGGTCTGTGTGGCTTTCTAAGAAATGGCCAAATTGTCCTCCGGAGGGGTTCCATCAGTTCGCCTTCCCAGCAGCAACGAAAGAGAGTTCCTGGCCCTCCCCATCCCACCTCCAGCGTGTTGTTGCCAGTGGTTGGATGTCGGCCCTTCTCATCAGGTACTATCTCATTGCTGTCAATGTGCTATCAGCTGCTAGCTCAGCGGTGCTATCTCGTTGTTGTTTCAACTTGCCTTTGCTTAATGACCTGGTGTGGAGTCTTCCCAGGTGCTTAGGGGCCATCTGTAGCCTTCTTTACCCGCATCTTTGGCCCACTTTTCAACAGGGCTGTTTTCTTAGTCACTTTTTAGAATTCGTGTTGCAGTTTGGATGCAGGTCCTTTATCAGATGTGTGTTTTGTAAAGACTTCCTCCCCCTCTGTGACCGACTCCTGTTTCCATTCACTCAACAGTGCATGTTGTGTTTTCCGTGAACCCAGACCCGTTTTCTCTACAGTGTCCCACATTCTAGTTTAATCTGGCTTTTTTCATAAGTTTATATCACGCTGGATTGAAAGCAAGACCAAACTTTGTGTGTCGTGCAAATAACTAGTCGTAAGAGCGCTGAGGGGGCCAAAGTACTAATCAGGAAACGGATTTTGAGACACGAGTGTTGCCAGAGGTGAAGAGGGACATTTCACAATGACAAATGGTTAGGTCATCAGAAAGACGTAAACCGTCCTGGATATGTATGTGCTTGATAGGAGAGTTCAAAATACATACAGCAAGATTGCCAGGAGCAAAGAGAGGAAGCAACCAACCCATAATTCCGGTTGGGGCTTTGGATAACCGTCTGTCAGTAATTGGTAGGTTAAAACTAAGATTGATGATTAATCGTTTTCTCACAAAGAAAACTCCAGACATAATGTATTTTTTCTGGTGGAGAAGAAATGAGTTACTGATAGAAAAGACTGGAACAGTACTGTCAGTCGCTGTGAATCGGTGAATATAACGCCTGTGCCCAACGGCTGCGCGGTGCACATGTCAGGGGCAGGGGGGTGTCCTCCGAGAATGGCATGTCTCCATGAGGTCTGAAGGACTGAAATCATACAGAATCTATTCTGTGACTACAGAAGCTGGCCTCGTAGCATATCTGGAAAATCCTCAAACATTTGGAAACTGAATGACTCGTGTCAAAAAAAGATACGACAAAGGAAAG